GTGACAAGGTTCCCTGGCTTGTACATAAGTATTCTATAGAGAACCCAGCAACACAATTGGATAACAACTAAACAATACAAAACTTAGAATCTAGAGGAAGGCTAAAGGATACAAACAGGATCAGCCTTCCATTGTGAGTTGAGCCAGACTGACTTTGGAAGAATAAGTGCTACAGCTGTGAGGATAAGCTTCAAATTCAATCATAAAGAAGGCAGCCAACTTGTGGCAAGCTACATGTAGGAGTGCCTGTAACAGCTGGAATAGACAAACATTAATCTAGTGAAGATTTAGGATCATAATACTGTGTGTTCTGACTCAACCTCTTTCTGACTTAACATAAAAATACAGTGGTAACATCTGGTAGGTTGTACAGCATTCAGCAAAACAAACTGCCAATCTTCCAACAGACTGCTTACATGCTGGGGTCAATGCCTGAACAGAGTACTCCACAGTTACAGAGTTTTATATATGAAAGAAAACTTTTAAGTCAACTTTTTGAAAAGTCAAAAGTCCAGCAAAACTATTGATATAATACTATTAATAGAAGGCTGGGAGGTTTACTTTTGTTGTCAATGTGGGTGTGTAAAAATGAAAATTAAAAAATACATGTACATAAAAAAAACTCTTGTCTTAAATTGTCACCAGTCCACTAGATAATTTGTCACTGAATGAAAACATGTAGATACAAGTTGCTTCCCCTCCAAAATGCAGCTAACCAGCAGATTGGATGAAGTGTGAGAATGAAGTACCTTTCTGCTTTCCAGGAATCCTGTTGGTAGTAATAATGCCTGGCTTGTATATCTACATGCAGATCCCCTTTTTAGTAGAGAACTGTCAGAGTGACAGATATGCAGTTGTCACTAGCTAATTAAGAACCTATTATTACTGTGGAATGCTATCACCAACATGCATGATAAACCTTCACACTTTCTGGACAATTCAAATGACATTTTATCAGAGAAGAAAAACAGCAGCAGCTCTTAATTGGTTAATGACTGGGAGACAAGTTAATCAAAATACCATCTTCAAATCTAATATAATTATTTAAGTCACACTGTAACATCTAAAATCTCAGACAAAGAACTTTTTACAGGAATCAGCTACCAATCCAACCTGGGGACTCCAGCAAATACATGCATGAACCATAAAGGAGAAAACAAATTTAGTTAATCAATTTGGCCAGGTCTGTTATCCTTTCGAAACCTTTCATTACAGATTATCTTGTCAGAGAATAAAGAAATGGAAATCTTATCTCAGAATCTCAGGTTCTAATGCCTGAATTTGACTAGCATGGTGTTCCCAGCCAGGGGTAGACAGTAGTGTCATTAAGGTTTATCTTGTAGATAAAGAACATAGAGCTGTCCTGTCCAAGACAAAAGAGGTCAGACAAGTGTCTGGACAGTTAATAGATATACTGAGCCACTAATTAAGATAGGAGATCTGAAAAACTATAAATTATCACATCCCTTCAGTGACAAATGGTTGGCTAGGATTTAGGACCAGTCCTGGGTCTCATCATCCTGACAGTCTGGCCACTACTGGGCAGTGGTGTTGTCAGTGCAGAGGTCCTTGGGGAAAAGTACAACAGGAGACACAGAAAAGTGCATCTTATCCATCCAGTAAATGAAGATCATTTTCTGAGCTCAACAGTTAAAGAATTGTTCCAATTACTGTTTTCCTTTCTTTTTCCAAACTGACTAGTTACAATGTTGTTGATAGAAAACTCCAGGTGCAACTTTTTTTATTTCCACCTCCCCCCAGGCGATCTTTGCCAGTGTGTCCTTTACAAGAAATCTGTTCTCTGTGCCCTTCCTGGTCATCAGTCTCTCTCCAATCCACAACATCACAGCTTAACTTACCACCTGTCTAGGAATACACCATCCAATGAATAAGGTCCTACAAAGGTAAAACTCATGTTCTACAGTGGAATAGAAACAAAACATGGAACCATATAATCATGTTCACAACTGACAATCAAGGAAATTATCTCATCTACGTTGAAAGGCATTGGCATTTTCCCATGTTTATATCATCTTGATCTGACTGGTGTTTACATCAGGAAGACTTCTCTTGCAGTAACCCAGACAACACAGGATGGGGACACTGAAAGAGGTTACTGGTTGGTGTGATCTACTCTCACTGCTGGCTGGCTGACCCAGTTTGGTAGTGACCCCTGGCTAGTCTTGCTTTATTGTGTACCTGCTAGCCAGCCAGGGTGGACTCACATGTACCTATATACAGCTTCACAGTTGGGCGAGCTAGCTTGGTAAACATCACACTTGGGTCATGCCTCAATTATCCAACTCTGACAAGGCAAATAGCACACTCTGAGGAAAGTTCCCAAGACAGTCAACAAAAGAGTTTGCCTCTTTCAAGTTTTAGGGAAGAGGCAAACAGACTGAAGCTTAGCAATATCTGCCTTGTTTTCCGGAAGTTTCTACATCAAGTTTCCAGTCTGTACACACAGACTACAGTATGGTAACATCTGTCCTTCTGCTGCCTCAGGGTTGAACTAGCACATGTGCTGGCCCTTCATGCCTGAGTGGCTTGTCATGACCACTGGTTGGGATACCTACATAAACATTGCTGTACTGTTCTTCTCTTATCAGCTTCCTATACCCTTATCCTAAATGGACATGTTATTCCCAAACAATATTTACACAGTGGAAATATGACCTTCATGTCTATGTCTCTTGCAAGGACAAGTGTGTTGTATGACAAAATTCCTTGTGTACCCCAGCCTTTCATGAGTATGGATTCCATATGCCTATAGCCTAGTATAGGCCTAAGGAATGCAGAGTTTTAACATTAAAGAATGACCTGTTGACAGCACTGTCAAGTGATAGATTATACATATCTTTGATTATAATCAAAGGGCTGGTATGGACCATTCATTGCAACAAATGTGATCCATTCCCGTCATCAACAGAGTAATAACAAGTTCAAAAGCTGTTCCCAACTTTTCAGAGGCTTCCCAAGGGAACATTCCTTTTTGCCAGAATTGGTATGGGTCATAAGAAACATCTCACCCCAAGGAAAAGCTACAAGAGACACAAGTCAAATATAGACAACAGACATGGCAATTATGGTAAATATTCTAACACATTTATATTTCAATTGCTCAATCACAGAATCAGTATGTCTGTATCACGCAACTTGAGATACTGGTAGTCATTGTGATGCATATATCCAACAGAGGATTCCTGTACTGTGGCTTACCGCAGGACATTTGGCACATTAGTTACATAAGTATTAAACAACAAGTGGTGGATGGGGAGAGGAATTTCAGCCAACCTCTGTCTACATATTTGTCCCTGGCCCCTGGGATTTTGTAATACATGTATGTGTTTTCTGGACATCAGAAAAAAACATGATTCCTTTCCAGAAATATCCTTGGCATCAGACCATACACAAAAGGTCTACCTACATGTGTGATCATGACTGTCCCCTCTGTAAAAAAAAAAGAGAGACAACCACAGAGTCTTCCAGTGGGAAATCAAGCCATTTTCATCTTCTGTTACCTGTATAAGAATTTTACTACTCTCTGTCATATAGCTCAGCTCTGTTATATTCATGTGTTGTCAGTAACATGAAATCTAGGCATCCAAAGCCCCCACCCCCATTCCTAAGCCATCTTGAACTCCTTAGGCCCCATTTGAGTCTCTCCTGGGAAGGAGGTGATTAGAATATCAACAGTGTGTCTGAGTTAAATTATTGCCCAGATGAAGCAGTCACTCTACCTGTCAGTGAAAAGAACCACCTGTGCCAGGCTGCGGGACTAGCCATACTTTGTCCGCTAACCCCAGACGATTTCTAACTGATGTACAAGTTTGAACCCAAACCAGACAGTCTCTGAGTCAAACCATGAAAGAAAACTACAGGGTACTCTAATTCACTGACCACATATAACAAAATACTAGTAGATGCTTGCATAACATACAAGGAGACATGTGCCATGGGGAACTATAACATGAGAAAGGTTTCTTCCCCAGAAGTTCCTGCATTAATCATTGACAATTCTTGACACTGGCTCCATAGCATAATAGCACATTTATATGAGTTTAAACCTGATCCCAAGAAATGTCTGGGAAAGTTTTAATAATAAGATGCAACAAAAGATATCTTCACTGCTTCAAAATATTGCTTGCAAGTGAAACAAATGAAGAAATCCTCACCTCCTGTAACTCCAACCTCTGCCCAACAGCCTCCAGACAGTGGCGTCCGGTGCTCTCCGTGGTGATGGTACATTCTATCACTGTGTTATCCAGCAACTGCACGGGAATCACGAACGAGTTCTTCGTGTGAACATTGTATCGCTTGGTCTTCTTTAACTTCAGTCCAAATGGCATTGTTGCTTCAGCAACACTTCCTCAATAATCTGCTACCTTTTCCTTCTCCTCCGTGTACAAGCTTGAAACATTGTGGGAGGGTCTTCTACCTGAGGATTAAGAAGAAAAGTAGTACTTATATAATTCATCTATATGTATATGTATAAGGACTAAGCTTTGTAAACTAAAAGCTGCTGTAAATGCAACACAGAATGGATCAGTATATCAAAAGGTTAATGTGGGGATGATTGTAACAAGCTCATTAACAGACATGCCTCATTTGCAGGACTTATTGGGTCTGTAAATGATGTTCATGATAAGGGTGTTCTCAAGCAAATCTTAATGGACTGTGAAATACCACTGACTCATTTAAAAACAGCCTCTTGCTGAGGTCATTGACATGGAAACATGCTAGTCATCTAGCCATGCAAGTGGTGGTGAATAGTCCAGACAGACTTGTGGTCTCCATGGTACTAGCAACATCCAGTTTTACTTGTGCAAAGCCCAGTATCATCTTGTATCAGCTGGTCTGGTAAAACTGTAGTGACCCCAAAACAAGCTAACAATAAGGAATCCATGACTCATGAGTCAGGGTGGTAATATATGTTGTTTGTAAGGGAAGTGCAGAGTTACCTTGTATAGTATCAACACTTATGGATAATTTTAAGTTCTCAAAGAGACCCCTATATTGTACCCTACATTTTCAACCCAAGCATTTGCCAATGAATAAGGATGAATTACTGGTACCTCATTGCTCTTTTACAACAACACACTTCAGTGGACTGGTGTTGAAAAAAACAGTGAGAACTGTCTGATCTGTATTTGTTGTATTTTTCCCCATTCATATCCAATTTTGTCTTTTGTTAACAAGTGAGTATACAGAAAAATAAATTTTGAACTCTTATTCTTGTCATCTATGCTGAAAGCCTGAACCTGTATTAGAAAGCACCCAATCAGTTAGCCATGGAGACTCTTGATTCGGGCTTACATTTTCATTACCCTCAGCAAGGGTAATGCAATGTAATCCCGAATCACAATAATCCTGAGTCTCCACGCACAGCTACCAATCAGTGTTCTCAAAATGAGCACAGGACAGTACATATTGAAGAGGATTTATTTATATATATATTCTTTGTTTTTGTAAACTCCATCAAACTTCGACTGCTGTATACTATTTCAGAACTTCCTTGTTAGACTTTTGGGTCCAGGTCCATATCTGAAGGTAAAGACACAACATACAATTTGTCTTTTATTGGTTTGTTGTAGTGTAAAGGTAAACAAAAATGACTGGTACTAAAGAAACCTCAACAGGTATCATCACATCCGGCCACAAACAACTCTACAACCGTGGTGAATCACGACCTCTACGCCTTGGGGACATAATTTTCCTGACAGGTGGTATGTCCACCACTCACTGAGTCACTCGGAACCACTTACCTGGCCTAGTGCCCCCCTCCCTCCCACTTCTATCCACTTTAGACACGACACAACCTCACGATGGTAAAAATCGTGGTACTATCCGACCTTTTAGATTCATCGGCGATAGAAAGGACGGCTTGAGAGCAAATAAATGGCCCCATCAGAAGAGCTTCCCCGATTTACAAACAATAGCAAGTGGTTGCGTGCTGATCGGACCGAAGGGAGACCAGATGGGAGGCATAGACTTACGCCGACCTACCTGTCAGTCAGGGTCGCACGCACCCCTCAAAACCGCGCCAACATTCACCGGATAACTCTCCCCACACACCGTGGAGGATATCCTGTGTGATTCTGTACGAAATCCTTGAGATCTGCGTCAGAACCCGTGGATCCAGGCTGGTCCGTTGAGTAAATATGGGAGCCGGAACGACAACAAAAACGGCGGACTCTTCCACGCTTCCTTGCCCCCGGGGTCACCAAGAGTTGGACCCACTTTTCTCGCCAAACAGTGAGGTTCAAGTCCACACAGCCGCTGCCAGTAAGGTGTTCGGATATGACCCTGTAGCCTGTCTGTTAAATCTCGCCAAGAAAAGCCCGCGGGTGAACAAATATTCCGTGTAAATGGAATGAGTTGTCAGACGCTTTGATGATATCAGATGGATGGAATTTCAGAAATGTACTCACCCATCGCATCAGAACGTAGGAATCCCCACGAGCTTAAACTTCAATATACAAGGAAATAATGAAACAGAGAATATCATATTCATTTTTCTAACAACTGCAAATAAGAATATTATGAATAGTTCGTAATTTACCAGTATTGTGATCTTGTAGCGTATATTAAGTATATAATGTTATTTAAATCCCCTCGATATCTGGTGCGTTGCTATGCGTTCTCGGGTCACACACGCCATTCAAGTTGCGACCCCATCCCGTCATGCCTTGGGATCGCTGACCAATCAGCATGCAGTATTAGTGTCTCAGGTTTTGAAGCCGTGAAAAACGGCATCAGTTTGTCGTCTTGAACAATGACAACAAACTACGGGCATTTTAGTTTGAATTCAGACGTTTAAAGAGAAACACAAGCATCTGCGATTAAGGCCTTTTCTCTACTAGAAAGACTCAAGGTAAGGACTTTTGAAACGCCTTTTTTGGCAGCATCTTCTATCAGCAAATCGATAACATGGACGTTTGTGTTTCCCACCAAAAATCTCTTTCTTTGGGAAATTATGATAGTAGTGCTAGTACATGTAGTAGTACTAGAAGTCAGACCTCAGACATCGCCTGACGATTTCATGTTTACAAGTTATCTTTCGAGTTAAGGTGCGATATTAGCCTACTTTATGTATCTTATTCTTGGTCGTTTATGTCTTTGAACAGTTTAGAATCTAATATTAGATACAGAACTTCTGAATCTGACTGATTACCTAGTTAGTACTAGTACTTCAGCTGTAGCAACGGAGTCAGTGGCACTTCTATGCTAATATTACTTAGAAATTATTCATCAATGAAGCTAATACAAATTTATGTACCCTAGTTCATAGTCATACGAGTTGAAATTGCAAAATAGTTAGCGGAGAAAAAACGGTTTGTATTTAGCCTGTTGTGAACGCAAATCAACCAGTTCTTTAGGGAATCGGAAGGATTGATAAGGTTTTTGAAAAACCTGGTCTTAATGATAATGGTTTATTCAACCAGTTTTTACGTCATAGTTCCAGGTTCAGTATCTGGGCCGTGTGCGACCTCCAGGTTTTAAAAAATGTTTTGAGTTCTTTTCCACTGGTTTTCTTCATCTTGCAATGTAATCAGCATACGCAACCTAGTCGGCAGACAAGACCAAGCTTCTGATACCCTTTTTTGGAGAGTAGGAGACACAGAAAAAGCTGGGTGGGGGACGTGGGGGTACTGTCAGTCAAGTTGGGGCAGCAGGATTTCTCGAAGACAAGAGATCAGTGCCGCAGTAAAGGACCTGAAGATGCTAGCTAGATGGCATATTAGAAGAAGGCTTTTTGTTCAATCTGCAATCATGGCTGATTAACGGAATATTCACCGGACAGGATTTTTACAAAACCAGTTTATTTAAAGTCTGGTAAGAACGCTAGAGGTTTTAGCTGGGTTTCCCCACTACAGTAGTTATTTAGCGGCTTCAACCAGTTTTTTAAAGTCTGGTAAAAACAGGGTCTTACTCTTAGGTACCACCTTGCTGAACAGAAGTGAAGCACTAATCTATAATTTATGAAACTTTGAAAGAAATAGATTTCAATTTGAAATCTAGATTCACATGTAAGTTTTTTTAAGGTATGTATTCCTTAACGGAGCTTGAGAATACAATGCATGAAACTTTGAGTATATATTGTTATGATACATGTATGTTGATGTTCAGGTGTAGCCATGAGCTGGGCAGCTCAAGAGTGGAAGGATGGATTGCCCACACGGGCTCTCCAGAAAGTCACTGAGATCGAGGCAAACCTGGAGAAGCTGAAGAAGGAGCAGAAACAGCGACAGTTCCAGATGGACAGTCTGGAGCAGACGCTGCAGAAAACAAAACGCAACTTAGAAGAGGAGAAGAATAAGGTGAGAAAACAACTGGTCCTTCCTAAGTTTATTTTCTTAGCTACAGACAACTTTTGTTTCTTATGACAACCTATTCACATCTCAATCAATAGATGTTGTCTATTGATGAAGATATGCAGGCAGTGTGTTGAACTTTTTTCGCTTTATTGTCCTTTACACTTATACTAAGTTATAGGTCATCCTTTAACCAGGTGAATGTGTCTTACTCTTAGTACTGCTCACCATTTTCTGTGTAAACTAGCAATCTTGGATACATGCCCAACATACTGATGCATTGTTGTATTTATATCTTCCCACCCAGGTAACCATTATGAAACGAGAGAACCAGACCCTTGTTGAGTCCTGTGAGGACCTTCAGAAGAAGAGAGAGAAGATTCAGCATGACCTGCAGACAAAAGAATCCCTGGTGTCCTGTATGGAAGGGCAGTTGTCTCACGCCAAGGCTTCGCTGGACACAGAGACTGGCAGGAACCACCAGCTGAAGGGGGACCTGGAGCGTGTGGAACAGGAACTCGCCAAGGCGCAGCATCGGGCTGAGAAACTACATGCTGAGAATTCACAGCTGCAGGTACGCTTTTTGTATACTACTAGTATTTGAAATGTCATTGTAGGTAACTTGTATAGTTGAATATAGGAAGAAATCAAAAGATACATATAGTAGCTACTCTCATGCAGTGACGCCATACTGAATACACCTGTTTTCTTTGGACAGGAGGCGTCCAACCACCAGCGTCAGGAGTTAGGTGGGAAGATAGAGAAAATCAAGAACCTGCAGCATGAGATAAAAAAGCTGCAGTTTGAGCTGGAGCGTGGGAGGAGCCAGGAGTACACGGGGAGTAGGAGACGTAAGTTGGAAGGAAATCTGTTAGTAACTCCACAAGATACATACATCTCATTACTAGTGTTAAAAAATCTGTTTCCACATTTGTTTACATACATTTTGTGTGCACAGTGCCATTGTATTCTTTTAAGATACATTAATTTGAAATTGTATAGAGCTGGAGACTGTTGCAAGGTTTTAGAGACCTTCACATGCTAAACTTGATGTCTTGACTGACCACAGATGGAAGTGGGAGTAGCAGTGATGATGAAAGCTCCCAGCTGAAGAAGAAGATAACTGACCTGGAGAGTCAGCGAGACAGGGACGCAGCTGAATTCAACAGGGTCAACACTGAGCTTAAACACCTCAAACAAACGGTAATAGAACTTTTTGTCCCTTTTCCCTCAATGAAAGAAATTGGAAGGAAAATTGATTTAGGAAGTGCACTGCTGCTCACAGGCTGTTTTCTAACTCTGAGCTTTGCTTTGTTCACAGTTGAATGAGAAACAGGCTGCTTCCTCTGCTGCCACCCCAGCAAAGTCCAATGTGGCTGTTTCCTTTGACCTCGTGTCGTTTGGCTCACCAGCTGGCCCAGTCAGCACCCCTCGGACCAGGTCTCAGACTAAAAACAAGATCCCTTCGGTACCCCCCCTCCCCCACTTGCCCCACAGGTGGATAACACAGAGCTGATCAGGCTGCAGGGTCTTCTACAGGACTCCAGGAAACAGACAGAAGGTAGGATCACTTCATCTCTAGCAGAAAAAATAACTTTTGCCTAGATAATTGTTGATTACAATACTTTATACCAGGATAAAGACTTATTTGAAGGAAATGCAAATGCTGTCCGTAAGTTTTTCTGATATACAGTATTCTGTATTACTACTGTGTTACCAGTATAAAGCTAAGGTATTCTATTTGGTCCATGCTGCCACCCATAGAGTTCAGTAATAGCATAGAACTTCCAGTGCTATGTTGCTATCAAGTGCATGTACATATGATCTTCATGTCATCTCCCATCCTCAGACCTGAAGACTCAGCTGTCCCAGTTGGAGCTGCAGCTGCAGGGGAAAGAAACAGAACTGCAGCGCCAGGTGGCGCTGGTGAATGAGGCGCAGGAGCAGGTGCAGAAGCTGACATGTACCCTGCAGGACAGGGACAAAACTGTCTCCAAGATGCAAGATGAGGCCAGCAAGACAAAGAACCAACATGAGCAGAGTCAAGCGAAGGTATGTATGCAATGTCATGTATCTGTATTATAGTATCTTAAGATAGTAAAGAAGTATCTATCTGAGCCACAGTTTGGATAATTTTGAAAAAGTTTCATTTTGATTTGCAATTGTTTACCTTTAAATTAAGATGTGCTGACAAACATTGTTGAATTCCTCAGATTGCTGAGCTTGAGAAGAAGTTGAAGTCTCTCGGCCAGGAGTTGGAGTGTCAGCGTCATAATGCTGAATCTGCTCGCCAGTCACACGAGCAGAGACTCAAGGAAAGGGAACGGGAGCTCAATGCAGAGGTAGGTTTTCTGGTAGAAATAGACATAATTCCGATATTCATGGACATTTTGTGATCTTGCACGAAAACGAGACTCATCATTATATGGTCTCATAGTGTTCTAGCTTCCATAGTGGCTTTTAGTGTAGGACCGAGCGGTGACACGTCTTCCAGGCCAAAACTGTGTGTTTTATCCAATATGCTGATTTTTAAAAAGCATTAATGTACTAGGATAGGAAAAGTGGAATTAACTGCTGAATGTAGTGTTTTAGTTGTATTGCAAGTTTGGGAGATTGAAGGAAAAACTTTTTCTTTTTTGCATAATTGTATTTTAATGCTTTGTTTTTCCAGATAGCACAACAGGCTCAGATGCTTGCCTCCATGGACAAACAGCACCAGGAGACCAGGAACAAACTCCAGCAGGAGATCCAACAGGCCCAGAATGAGAGGAACAAGGTGCAGGCAGAGGCTGAGGGTACAGACAGGGAGAAGGGCAAACTGGAGAAACAACTCCTGGAACTGCAGCAGAAACTTCAGGTTTGTCTGTTGTATTTATGTTTAACATATATTTCCGTACTCAGTATCTAACAGAAAACTTGTATCTAATGTATACTACTAGTATTTTTATTCACAGCACATCAAGAAAGCATCACATAAATTAAATACAATGTTTTTATTCAGAGTATCAAGGATTGGGCAGCTCTTATCGCAACTATAACAACATAAAAGCCCAGTAAAATCTTCAACATAATTCCAGTTTTGTTACCTCAAGTTTTTAAAGAGCCAGTTTCTGCTGAATTTCTTACAGTGTGCTGAGCAGAACATGAAGTCTAAGGAAGCGTCTGTGGCAGAGATAAAGAAACAGCTCCAGGAGATGACCAGGGAGCGAGACTCACTCACCAACAAGGCAGACGAGAGTGCACGGCAGGAGAAACACATCCAGGAACTCAAACAGAAACTACTGGTCAGTGTGCTTTCCTGTTTTGAAACAACACTTGTGGAGCATAATCCCATTAAAGCTCATAGAAGTTGCGAAATGTTATATTTGGGCCAAGACAATGACTGACTTGAACCCATTAGTCACTCCCCAAGGAAAAGCGTTTCCATACTTGCACACAAATTCCTGTGTTCTTTTGTTTTAAATTTACTAAGTTAACTGAACATGTTCAATTATCCCAGAACACAGAGAACAAGGCCACTCACCAGGAGAAACTGACTGCCGAGGCTAAGAAACAGCTGCAGACCCTGACGACAGAGCGGGACAAACTCAGCTCCCAGCTGGAGAAGAAGGACTATGACCTGGCCAACCTACAGGAGCAGCTCAAGAAGAGTAAGGAGAGCAGTGCTGAGTTATCAGCCCTGCAGAGGGAACATCAGCAGCTAAAGACAGACCTCAAGAACCTACAGGTGAGTGCAAGACTACAGTTCAACTGTGCTGTGCCCATGTTTTCTGTTTTACACTAGACAGGAATCTGAAAAGGATGGTCTAGAATTCAAAATTACATTAACCTAGAAGACGTGAGAACAAAACTTTCCCCATGAAAACGATACCATCACTATAACAGTGTATTAATGAAGCCATGGTCCTCTCTCTATTCGCTCCAGGGCACCAGGAATGAGTTGCAGGATGAGACCCGGCAGCTGAAGGACCAGGTGAAGGAACAGCAGCAGGAGACTGAACGGAGAACCTCGCAGCTGGAGAAGGACAAGAAGGAGCTGCAGAACAGCATCGCCCAGCTGGAGGCACGGGGCAGGGAGATGGAGGCCAGGGCACAGGAGGTAGGAATCACTGGGTAATGTGGATATGCAGAGTGTGGGTTTACTACAACATATATATTCATTCTCATTACGTTCTTACTCTTGGAATGCATCCCTGCCTTGTTGGGTGATTTAAAAGAGCTGTGGATTTTCTTCATTCCAGGCACAGAAAACACAGGAGCAAGAGCTAGCCAAAAAGGATGAGGAGTTGTCTGGCCTGCAGAAATGCCAGGAAGATAGATTACAGGACCTGCAGAAGGCAGAGGAAAGGCTTACAGACATGGACAACAGACTCAAGCAGGCCCAGGTGTGATTTATTTATATCCAGTTTACCAAACATTTTTAGACCAAGGTCAATTTTAGGGTGTGAATTTTCTTCATTTGAGACAATGGCACTTGTAAGTTTAAAAGGTTGGTAACTTTTCTCCTGCTCCTGTCTCCAGGATGAGTCCACCCAGCTGCGTTCTGAGATGGACACTGTCCGTCAGGAGAAGGGTGTGGTTGAGGCTCGAGTGGCAGAACTGGAGGAGGAGGTGAAGAAAGCCTACAACTCTGTGGAGCTGCAGACTGCCCAGCTCAGGGCCACCACTGATGGACTGAAGAAGGAAAACACTACATTACAGGTAACTGCATGTTTCATTATTAAAAACATTATCACTAATGGTGTTGCAGCTGTAAATATGCAATTAGTTAGTTCCTTCTGTTGACATTTATCATGACAATTTTCTGCAATTGGCTGAAAAATTATGAATGTTTCCACCAGGCTGACTACAAGAAGGCCTGTGAGCTGGCTGACAACAAGGCCAAGGAGGCCAGTGACCTGCTGGACACACTTCAGAAGTCTGAGGAAGAAACATCCAAGTACCGCCACCGGTCCGAGTCAGCGGAGACTGAGCTCAAGACTGGGCAGGAGAAACTCCAGTAAGACTATCAGCGCTACCACTGTCTGTAGATAACTATCGTACCTGAACTGATACAGTCTGAGGAAAAAAGTCTCTAAACTTAAGTTCAAGTTGGATATAGAGATTTTCTTTTACACAACCAGTAATGTCTCTTAGCCTGCTTACGTTTAAAGTTCAAGTTTTAACAGTCTCGACATATCTTTTTTTGTGTTTGAAGGGAGCTCCAGAAGGAAATGACCACTCTCCAGCAGACTTTGCAGGACAAAGAAGAGGCTCTTTCAAGTATCAAGACAGAGCTGAAGGAGACCCAGGCTAACCTGGAGGCCAAACTAGGGCACAGTGAGCAGCTTCTGACAGAACGGGATGCACAGCTGCAGAAGGTGAAAGAGGAACTCAGCAGCTCTGCCCAGCAGGTGGCATCAGTGACACAGCAGTTGGAGGAGAAACAGGATAGCCTTGCACAGCTTTGGGGACAGCACGATGACTTGACAGCCCAGCAACAGCAACTGTATCTGCAGTATAGTGCCAGACAGGAAGAGCTGCAGAAAGCTGAGGCCAGACTACAAGAAATGGAGGCTGATGCCGACAAGGCCACAAAGGGGTTAGAGGAACAAGTGGCCAAGCTGAACAAGGAGCTGTCAGAGCTGACTGTTAAACTAGACAGCCAGCAGGAAGCCTTGGAAAACAAAGACCTTCAGATTCAAGGTGCTAAGGAAGAGCAGAGCAGTATCGGTAAAGAGCTCTGTGAAGTGTCATCTCAGCTAGACCAGGAGAAAGCAAACAACAAGCAGCTGCAGCAACAACTGGACCAGCTGAATGAGAAGCACCTGCAGGTTACCCAGCTGCATATGTCTGCACAGGCACAGCTGGCAGAAATTGAGAACAAACTACAGGACACCGAAGAATCTGCTGACAAAGTGACCAAAGAGCTACAGAACAAGGTTAATCAACTTGAAAGTGAGACAGCCAAGCTGGAGGGTCAATTGGAAAGTCAAGAAGAGGCAGTGAAATCCAAGGATATGCAGTTAGAGGCTGCAAGAGCTCAGCTGCAAGACACAGAGTCCACCGCAGCTAGGATGGCAGAAGAACTGCAGCAAAAGGTTACTGAGCTGCAGCAAGAGGCCAGCAGCTTGTCACAGGAGTGTGAGACCCAGAAGTCAGCAGTTGAAGCCAAGGAGCATCAGCTGGTATCGCTGAAGTCTGAGCTGCAGGAAGCCACAGATGAGAAACAGATGCTGCAGGGGAAGATGGAGGTCCTGCAGATGGACGTGGACGACCAGAGAGAGCAGCAGGAGGAACTGCAGACACAGCTGGAGAAGGCTCAGGCTGCCATGGCAACTGCCCAGGACCATGTGACAGAGAAGGATGCCAAGATCACAGAGTTAGAGGCAGAACTCCAGAGTGCCCAGAAGGATGTCGATAACTTCAAGCAGGATCTTCAGGATAAGGAAGAGAAACTTAGAGCTACGGAGGAACAGCTGGAGTGTGCCACCCTGTCCATGGAGAACAGCCACTCTGAAGTACAAGCCAGGCGAGAGGAGATACAAGTCCTGAACACAGAACTGCAGACAGCACAGAAGGATGTTGACTCCCTGCGACTGGAAGTTGAATGCAAAGAGGAGAAGCTGAGAGTTGCAACCGATCAGTTAGAGCAGGCAAACCTGGCCATGCAGAATAACAAATCCCAACTCCAGACCAAGGAAGAGGAGCTGGAAAACCTTAAAACTAAAGCCCAGAAGACTGCAGATGAGCTGGCATCCTCCAAACTGGAGCTGCAGTCAGGTGGAGAACTGATGGAGTCTCTGACTTCTCAACTAAACCAACAAAGTGAGACTTTACAGAAGCTGAGGGCTGACCTGGAGACAGCTTCAGACAAGCTTTCAGAAAGTCAGCTGCAAAGTGAAAACCTGCAGAGCAGGCTGTCAGAGTTAGGGAAGGAAGCAGAAGGGAAGGATGTGACAATAGCAGAGCTCCAGGATCAGACAGAGTCTCTCCAGACCTTGACCCAGAGTCTGAGGGAAGAGTTGGTGCTGAAACAGGAGGAGCAGAGCCAGGAGTTGGGCAGTCTGCACTCACAGCTGCAGCTGACACAGATGGACATGGAAGACAAGGAGACCATGGTCAAATCTCTGGAAACACAGCTAGAACAGTTACAGCTTATGGTAGATGACAAAACAGGAGAGTGCACCAGACTTTCTGATGAGTTGAACAAGCTGGAGGCCACAGGAGAAGAAAGAGAAAAGAAAATGCAGTCCTTTGAAGAACAGATAGCTGCCCTTCTTCAAAACAATAAAGAAGCAGAGACCAAGTCAGCTGGGAAGATTGAGGATCTCCAAGCATCACTCAACCGAGTTGAAGAGGAGAGAGACTCGCTGCAAGCTGAACTCAGTAAAGCCCAGTTTGACCTTGACAACCAGCAAAGTGACCTTGATGGAATGACACAGCAGTTTGAACAGCAAGCAACAGCCAAGGCCCAATTGGAACAGCACTGTCAGGAGCTGTCGTCTCGCTGTGATACACTGCAGCGGGAGCTTGGAGCACTAGAGGCTGAAAATGCAAATGTACAAGAACAGAAAACTCAGTTGGAAGCCAATGTCTCAGAGTTAAGTAAGAAGCTGGACTCTACTCAAACAGAAATGGATGAGAGTGTAGGCAGGCTGAACAACACCATTGCTACCAGCCAGGCTGAAAAAATACAGCTACAAGAACAGCTTGAAGAGGCCAACATTAAGCTAGAAAGAGCTGAAGCTGACGTAAAGGACATAAGCAGCATGCTGTCACAGCTGTCCAAGGCCCTGGAGGATAATCAAAAAAATTCAGACTCCACAATCACAGCCTTGAAAAGTGAGAAGGAGGGTGTGCTGAGTGAGCTGAAGGCCACAAAAGAAACCCTGGAGCAGAAGTCTGCACAGCTGGAAAAGATGGAGGAAAGTCAAGGCAATCTAAGGAAAGAGTCTGAAGTTGAAAGGGAAAACTTGAGGAAACAGCTTCAGGAAACACAGGCACAGCTTCAGATCCTGCAGGAAGATATAGATGACACCACAAAGAGCTTGGAGGAAGCTCAGACTGAGCTGTCCCAACTGCAACTTGAGCTTGAGACCACCGGAAACACAAACATGTCCCTGACTGCACAGGTGGAGGTGCACAAGGCAGAGATGGAGGGGATGAGGAAGGTAATGGTGGAAAAAGACAACCTGATCTGTGACTTGGAAGAGGCTACAAAAAGTCAAGGAAAGCAAATTGAAGATCTTAAGGCAGAGCTGGAGGGAGTGGAAGAGGAAATGTCATCCAGCCAGAAAGGTCTTCATCAGTCAATTCAAGAGAAGAACAGCCAGCTCAGTAGGATGCAGGAAGAGCGAGATGACGTCCAATCAGAGCTTGCCAAGAAAGTAATGGAGGTAGCCATGCTGGAGGAGGACATTCAGGCACGGGATGCAGAGTTGACAGAAACACGTGAGAAGCATACCACCGCAAAGCAAGAACTACAGGCTGACATTGAAAGTATCAAGCAAACCCTGGCCACAGTGACACAGAACCTTACAGAGAAGAGGCTGTTTTGTGATACCCTGAAGGCTGAAGTAGCCAGGCTAGAGAGTGAAAAACAGGAGGCTGAAAGACTGCTGGAAAGTTCAGCGGCTCAGCACAGAGCTGTACAGGAGCAGGACAGGTCAGCGATTGCAGACATCAAGGAGGAGATGGCACAGAAGGAAAAGCAACTTGTAGACAAGACTGATCTGATTTCTGAGCTGCAAGCTGAGATTGACAGGCTCCAGACAACAGCTGCAGAAGCCAGCAGGTTAGCAGCTACAACAGAGGATGACTTGAAAAAGCAAATGCAAGAAATGCAAACCAAGCTGAGTGACACAGAAACCCTCCTGGTTGAGATGACTGCCAAAGCAGAGCAGAGTGCCTTTGAAGTACAAGAGCTACAGCTCAGCAGTGCCTCCTTGCAGTCTGAGACAGAAACAAAGCTGAAGAACACGAAAGATGAGCTACAGCAGTTACAGTGCAGTCACCAGACAGAGGTGGAGCTGCTGCAGTCCAGGTGTGAGAAGATGGAGGAGGAGCATCAGCATGCCCTGCAGGTGGAGCAGGAGACAGCTGCCAGTCTGAGGGATGCCCTTCACCTGGCTCAGGAACAACTTGGGGCACAGGTAAAAGAATGTAATGCTGAATATGTAGACTAGTGCAGTTTAGTGATCTAGCAACTTGTCTTTACCAACAAGGAAACTGCAAGACAAAAAGTTTTCATATCTTTGTTTCATTGACACTAACATTCTCTTTCACTCATGGTCGCATGCTCCCTGAACACCTAAAAAGGGTCATTCATCTAAATCAAAATGCATGTTATTGGCCATACTAAGTAATAAACTGATCATAAGCATACCAAATAGTTGCTTGATATGAAGTGTGTTTTGTACCTCAGACCAGCTCATCAGACAAGACCATGTTGGAGCAGACCCAGCGACTGGCAGAGTTAGGAGCTGAGCTGCAGCAGTCACAAAATCAGTGCACAAGTCAGGAAGACGAGATGAAAAAGTTACAGCACCAGGTATGTTCAAGTAAATCACAAGGGTGAATGAAACAATTGTGATTTGGTTTGTCACAGTTGCTCCCAGTTAGGATGTCAGTGTTAGCTACTAATAATCCTTCCTTTCCCAGCTGTAGTGATGATATGATTCATTAATTGGACATTAGATTGACTAAAATGTATTTTGCTGTTAAAATTTTCCAGCCCATGTTAAGTTTTTTTTCCCCCATAAGGTGAAGACATCAATGTTGGAAATTTTCCTTTGGGTTTTGAACTTTTGATAGATGTTATTTCTGCCCCCCTCCCCAGCTGGATGACCTGCAGAAGAAGCTGGCCCATGCTGCAGAACACATCACCTCCCTGCAGGAGGAGCTGCGGCAGCAGGCTGACGCCATGGCAACGGCAGAGAAGGAGATGGTCCACGTACGACATGAACATCAGGCCAAGATCAAGGAAGAAGAATCAGAGGTGAAAAGCCTCACTGCCAAGCTAGCTGCTGTGAACAACAAACTGGAGGAACTTCAGCAAGAAAGGGAAGAGTTGAAGACACAGGCAGTAGAACTGGAGACTAGAGTCCAGCAGGCCTTGACTGAGAATGAGGCACTGAGGGAGGAAAGGGAGACTGTTCTTCAGGACCTGGAGTCTCTGCGAGGTTCACGAGAGACTCTCTCTCAGAAGCTGCTCTCAACTCAGGAAGAACTTACACAGACCCTGAGCTCGCAGTCTCAAACAAAGATACAGACTGACACTGATGTTTCCACTCTTCAAGAAGAAAAGGCAGCTCTTGAAAAGGACCTAGAAAAGTTTGATGAGGAAAACAAGATGATGTCTGAGGAGCTGTCCAACTTGCAGGACAGGCTGAGAGAAGCCCTTGCCGAGAACTCCTCTCTACAATACCAACTCAACAAAGCCTCTAGTGAGGTGGATGCACTACAGGAGGAGGAAAGGGCAGCCTCACAGCTTAATGAGGAACTGCAGGGACAGAACGTGCTGTTGAAGGAGCAAATCAAATCCCTAGAGAGTGAGAAAGAAAACTTCAGTATGACAATTGCTGAAACCACAGCTCAGATAAGACCCCTGGAAGAGGAGAAAGAGAGGCTGTCTGAGCAAATTGATGAACTGACCACAAAAATCAACGAATTGGAGGAGAACCGAAGTGACCTGGAATGTAAGCTGGTGTCAGCAACTAGTGAAAGTACACAGCTCAAAGCAGAGAAGGAGCACTTGAACAAAGAAATTGAAGGCCTGGAAGTCCAACTGGCAAATCTAACAGAAGAGAAGGAGGAAGTGCTACAGGAGAGGCTACAAAGCAGTGATTCTCTTGGTGAGTTGAAAGACCAGTGCAGCCAGCTACAGGTGGAGAATGAAACTGTCCGTGTGGAGCTGCAGTCTGTGACCGCTGAGCTGGGAGAGATGACGGAGATTCTGACAGGAATGAGGGAGGAGAAGAGAGAGCTGATGGAGAGACTAGACAGTGTGCAGCAGGAACATCAGCTGATCAGCCAGGAGCTGACATCGACCATGGGACAGCTACAGGAGGCACAGCAGGCTACTGAGAGCTACAAGGTACTGTTCTTAATACTTTTAGGCAGTCTCTCTAATGATGGAGATTACTTGCCACATGATTTTTATGCATGCTGTGATGTGTTTCAAACTGTTTGATTGGATTTAGATGTTTTGGTACGTGTGTTTATGTTTGTATATTTTACATCATCAGCTTGATCTGGAGGCCAGCCAGTCTGAGAAAGCCAGTCTGCAGCAGCAATTAGAGCAGTTACAGGAAGACAAAACCAGTTTGATCCAGACTGCTGAGGAGATCAGCACACTAAAGGACCAGTACAATCAACTCCAAGCAGAGAACGAGACTGTTACTGCCCAACTGGAGGCTGTCACCATGGACTTTGGGGAGGCAACAGAACAGCTGCAGGCAGTAAGGGAAGAGAAGAATCAGCTGGTGGATAAACTGGAGAGAGTCGAGCAGGAACACCAGCTGATCAGCCAGGAGCTGACGTCAACCATGGGGCAGCTACAGGAGGTGCAGCAAACAGCAGAAAGCTACAAGGTGCTAGTTTTGTCTTTGTATCATGTCCGAGTTGCGTATCATGTCCACTATGAAACTAGCTGCACATGTTTCTGTATACATACATATATACTAGTAGTTGAAATGTAGAGATGTGAATGAGGTATCAACCTATATTTACATTTGAACCCGTGTCTTCCATTAGCTTGACCTGGAGGCCGGCCAGACTGAGAAAGCCAGTCTACAGAAGCAGATAGACCGATTGGAGCAGGACAGGACCAGTTTAATCCAGACTTCTGATGACCTCAGCACCCTGAAGGACCAGTACAGCCAACAGCAGGTGGAGACTGAAACTGTCCGTGTGGAGCTGCAGTCTGTGACCGCTGAGCTGGGAGAGATGACGGAGATTCTGACAGGAGTGAGGGAGGAGAAGAGAGAGCTGATGGAGAGACTAGAGAGTGTGCAGCAGGAACATCAGCTGATCAGCCAGGAGCTGACATCGACCATGGGACAGCTACAGGAGGCACAGCAGGCTGCTGAGAGCTACAAGGTACTGCACTTGGACATCCTTGCTAGCTGCTTCTGCTGTATCTTATCTTGTTTAAACTTGTCATTTTCACCTTCCAGATACGACTGGCATTCATGGTAGATGCAATTCCTTAGTTACTGAATATGTTTCTAAAATAATATGTTAATATTCTACTATTTACCTGCCCAAAAATGTGTCTCTCTACAGCTTGACTTAGAGACCAGCCAGTCTGAGAAGAGTGGACTTCAGGAGAAGATAGACCAGTTACAGGAGGATAGAACCAGTTTGAACCAGGAAGTTGAACAAACAAAGGCTGAGCTGGCTCTCAAGGTTTGTAGTGTGTTTCATAAATTATATGCATTTATGACCAAAAACGATTATCATTTCTTTAATGGCAGTTTCACTAAATAATGCAAAGTAAGAGCTTAACGTACTTGAACAATTTTTATCTCTGCAATCCCTTTTGTATTCAGGATAAGGAAATTGAAAGTCTCCAGTCTGAGTATGAGGCATTGAAGCAGCAGCTTCAGGCTAGAGAAGAGGAATCCTCAGCCCAGTCAGCCAAGGAGCTGCAGAAACTGGAGACTGCCTGTGCCAACCTGCGCGGTCAGCTGGCCGAAGAGCGCACGGAGAGCGAGCAACTGAGGTCCAGCCTACAGGCCCTGCAGACAGACATGGACAGCAAGGTGCAGGAGGGGGAGGAGGCAGTCAGGACACTGCAGGAGACTGCAGACAAGCTGCAGAAGGACAAGGATGCCCTGCAGGTAAGGACATCGAGCTGTTTGAATTACATTGCTGTAGTTAATGCTCTTGTGAATGCACTAATTTTAATAAGACACAGTTCATTTAACTACACTACTTGGAAATATTTAGATTGCTATCAGCCTTTACCACCTTTCTTTTAGAAGAAAGCTCATCTCTGTGTTATCATGTCCACAGGGTAAGCTGCAGCTGACGCTGAGAAACGCTCGTCAGCTGGAGAAGGACCTGTCGTCGCTGCAGTGCCATGTCACAGAGCTAGAGGCAGCCAACGAAAACCTGACTAAACAGGTAGACACTGTCGGTTATTTTCTGATGTTATTCTGCCATTTCTGTGCATACTGGGGGTCTATTGTACTCTTGATCCAACAAAAGATCAAGATGCTGGTAACAAAGAGTATGTGAACTATAGATTCAGAAACTATATTGGGACACCCTGGCTTCTTTGTAAGCCAAATAAATAAATAAAAAAAAAAAACTATAGATATAGATGTTAATGCCAATCAAGAATTTGTATGCCTGAAAGAGGACACTGGTAACTGTTGTGATTTCTATTTCAACACTCTGGATCATTATAACGTATTCAGTTGCAATTGAACACATTTTGACAGTCTTGAATTCTATCTATTACTTACAGACTAAGGGAAAGAAGACAACTAAGACCGATGATACTGACAAGACAAAGGAGTTGGAGGAATCTCTGAAGAAGGCAAAACAAGACTTGGAGGAGAAGACCAAGGAGGCAGATGAGAACCTTGGGAAGTACTTCAGCCTGATTCAACGCTTCAAGAAGACAGAGACTGCCAACGAGACGCTCAAATCCCGCCTTGTGCTGGTCGGTAACCAACTGAAGGCTTTGAAGGCAAAAGGGGGAAATACCAAAGGAGATAATGCAGCAGCCATTGGTGGGACTGCCCAGTCTGTACCACACACTACCAGCAGCACATCTGTTGCAGATAACAAAGACATAGTGCCAACATCACTGACAATTACAGACTCAGAGGAAGTGAAGAACACTACTGTAGCTTCCAACCTACCACCTACCAATGACTCTAAGAAAACAGATGAATCAAAGAAGTCAGACAGACGAAAATCGTTATCCATGAAACGTCGCCGCAGCACCAGGCTGCATCCAGAAGCAGAAGGCAGTGAAGGCAACACAACGGTGTCTAAGGCAGAGGAAGCCTGCAGCCGATTGAAGTCTGACACAGGGAAGCGCCTGGCGACACCAACCAAGCTGGAATCTACTGCCAAACGCTCCAAAAGTCATGTGGAAGAGGATGATTTTGAACTTGAAGGATTACCAGAAGTTGTCAGCAAAGGTATGATTTTTTGTACTTCATGCTTTGTATCCTGCAAGTCATTTGCAAACAGGAGAGTTCTTTTTCTGACACCTTATTGTATTGAATCCATATTTTGTGATCTTCCTCAGGATTCAGTGATATCCCATCAGGCCAGAAGAGCCCATACATCGTGCGGCGGATGGACCTGCCACAGACTTCCAGTTCAACCCGTAGTCTGTCCACACGCAGCAAAAGCAAGGACTTGCTGAAGAGTCTCAGCACTGACAAAGGTACAGAGAGACCTCCCGGTACATTGTTACATCTGAACAACTACATTTGTATAGTATTTATATGAAAGGCATTTCAACCCATTTCCTTACTTCAGAATAGGTGTCTCTTTCTTGGATGTGTGGAAATAATTGAACCATGTTGGTTGGGCAGCGTTATGCAAGTCTATAACAGAAAAGCTTTCTTTTGTGATTGCCATTGCTGTAGTTGGTGTCAGTCTGTCAGTGCTAATGTCTTTTTCCTGTGTTCACAGAAGGTAGACAGGAGATGCCCACAAGTTCCAGCACTACATCTGGTGGTGATGCTACTTTTGGAGTCAGCAGTCTGAGAAGAACCCATAGCCGGGACCTGATTGGCCAGCCTATCACTGATGTCACCAGTACAGGGGCACGAAGGGTCACCCGCAGTCAGGCCTCTCAGGAAAAGGTGAGTTAGTTTGCTGAATGTCACTCTCTTATGAGGAAATCTGAGTTCAAACTAGAAATAGCACAGGTATGTGGGGATACATACACCACACAGGTGGATACATAAGATTTTAAGAACAGAAATTAAACTTTGGATCTGAACAAAAAGCATCAAGGTCATTTAGAGGAATGGAAGTGAATTAGCCGAAATCACCGCGCCTGACCTTAGGTGAAGTTTTCTATGGATGAAGTTGGTGGCTTTATCATCCTCAACTTCTGTTGTGAAGAAAGCCATATTCCATGACAATGAAGGTGAGCACCAATAAGGTTGATTGCACAGGTTTTTTAACATCCTGTATCGTCACCCTTCTGCAGGATGGAAATGGAGATGCTGCCCTGGTCCAGATCACTAACAGTCCCAAGAAGGTGGTGGAAGGGGCCGCCAAGAGGCTGCGCGGCCAGCGTTCCCTCAGCAGGCCCAAGACTCCTGAGCAGAGGGCACAGCGACAGGAGCGAATCCGTCAAGCTCAAAACCAGGAGAACTGTAAAGTGCAGTAGATCTAACATCAGTCCCACTAGTGATAGATGCATCTTCCATGCACATGGAGAAAAGATTGTTTGATAAGATAATTAAATCTGATTTTTTGATAGTTTTTGTAGTATGAGAGTAGTAAAGGAGCAGTACTGATCTTATTAATGTTGCGCTCTTTGTCCCCGTCCATTTACTGTTGTTTGTTTGTTTGTTTGTGTTTAAGTTAAATGTTGATAAAGTTGCCCATATTAACAGGGCAACTACAATGTTGCATTGCAGTCCTCTTGGCAGATATTACCAGTAACCATGTATAGTCTATGAAGATATGTTCAACCATTTTATGAAGAAAATTAAGAATGAATTATTCTCAGAAGTCCTCACATTAGAAGCATATTTTTGCAATCATACCAGTAGTATACTAGTGTATGTTTCATGTAATGTTGATTATGAATTTTCTGAGTGGTTGTATTAAAGCATATTTTATTGCTTGTTCAGCTTTTTTGTTTGGTATAACTAAATATGGCAGCTCTATGTATTCTGATATATAGCAAAATCATGGCAAGTAAATGGTGCATGTATTTATATTGTGTGTATTTTAGTTTACTGGTAGATTTTCTGATACTATTACAGTCACTGTCACCTGTCATGTCTCTTGTTAATCCTGTGTACTTTGGCTCGCTTCCAGCTTTCTTCTTTTGGTGTTAACTTTGGTAATCAACCTTCCATGATTAAACTGTGCCAATGTGAAATAGACCCACTCTATATCTAGGCATTATGTTCCTTGGAATAAATTTGAATATGAGTGGTTTTATCAAAGCCTGTTGTGTATTTTTTTAATCCAGATTTACTTGCTCCAGATACCATACTAATAGGAGAAAAGAATCCATTTAAATATTAGTTGATGGCAAGATGTGGAAACAATCCTAGCAGTTGCGTGTAACATTAAATTTTCACTCCACAGATCCACCCCTGCTTTTGGTTAATATTGGTAGGACCTAATCTTGTAGTCTAAGGCTAAAATGAATGAATATTGAAACGTGCCCAGGCAGAACTAAAGAAGACCTTGTCCTTTAGTTCCTTTGAATAATAATGAAATATGATGGCAGGTAGTGGGTCAAAAGTCAAGGTTTTTTTCAATATCACCTGAGGTAGTGACATGTTTTTTGTGGTATTCGTAGGTGTTCCAGAAAAATTCCATTGAGCTGACACATTTTCTGTTCTCAGTTTTATGAATGAGATTTTGCTGATTTCAAAGCATTGAAACGAACAATACCTATGTCAATATTTGACTATGTGCTCTAAGCCACGCCCACCTACATGTGTAATCGGACCTGGGAAGGATGATGTCATCCTCCGCAATGCATATTGGGAGCGAAGACGGCCATTTTCCGGTGTCGATGGCGGACTGCAGACGAAGACAACGAAAACCGCACCTTTTTTCGCACAAATTATGAACTCTATAAGTCAGAGATACCAGTAGATAGATTTATCGGGCGCCAGAGAAACTAATAGGTGAGTAGTACGCCTGAGCTATCTCCACAAATGCGCTAAAATGCCATTTGCCTATGCCGAATCTGATGCACTGTCAAAAGTACCTCTGCGATTTCGTCTACGTGTGATGCTGGCTGATCTCAAGCCCGACCTGATCGCTATCAAACGGCCACATCTTCTCATGTAACTCTTGCCAGCTTATATGTCGTTGATTTTATATACTTTCAGTGCTTCTATAAGCCGCGATATTCATGGAGGAAATTATGTCCATCGCTGTGTTAGGGTGACGTGGAGGAAAAGATAGCTGCTTCAAAAGAGGAAATTATGTGCCTGTCTTTTGACGGGATTATTTTAGTCATATAACAGTTACTTGTGTTTCGTTGACTTCGTCCACCTTTCCATTATGTATATGTAACATTTTTGGTCGTTCAAATAACAGTGGCTTTCTGTAGGAGTTACCTGCGATGTAGGTGCTAGGTGGTGTCCATTTGAACTAGACGTTGTTTACACCAAAGGGATGGTCACATGACCGTCTGATTTCCAAATTTTGGACAACGCAGATTTGCGCAAGGGCGTGGAAAATTTACAAATATCACATTTTCCACAAATATCCATGTTCATTTCTATCCAGGCCTGTGTGTAAGCAAGGAGGTTTAAAAAAGCTCCTTGGTGTAAGTTAGCTACGATACAGTAATTTAAATTATCCTTTTGTCTACCAAAAATTATAGCTGCAGGTTACTTACTGTTATTGAAATGACAGTTTCCTAAGACCATATGTTTTCTTTATGCTCAGCCCCTTGTTGATCATTGTGCTAGGTATTTTTACCTGTAGGTGAGTTTGTCATTTTCCAGGGTAAGGAGGTTGGGTAATCAGGACAGTCTGTGATACATTATGTAATTTATTGACACTGAAAAAAGTGTACACCTGAGAGTGTGTGTGTACCATACTGTTTCGAGGAAAACATACATGTATCTTCTAAAAAATACACGGACAGAACATCATGGAAGGAAAGATGTAGGTATAGGTGTAGCAGGGTGTAGTCTGAGAAACAACATCAGCAAAGAGGGGGCGTGAACTCACTGGGGTTTGACAGTTGAAGGTCCAAAGTACACCGTGTTTACTATTTGTACTGTGGAAAGCAGCAAATAGAATGAAGATCATATGTACAACACATCAACTATGGCCATTTTAATAGGTTTTCCACATTCACATACCAGGTATAACTATAAGGTTCATGGTATATTTTTTTTCAGTTGAAGTTTTGAATAGAATTGCTTTGGTCAAAACATGGAGATAATGGCATGGAACAGAGTATGTAAATATCAGAGACCTTGTTATTGTGGAGAGAGTCAATGTGACCACCTGTTTATATGCTGCACCTCACTCCCAGTCACATTCTAGCAAGTACCAAATTTGTTTACACTACTAGTATTTTGTACATAACATACATTCTGTCTTCCCTCAGTAGTTGTCATTTGATTAACAAGTAGACAGTATGAGATGGCAACATATTTGTTCACAAAAGAAGGGCGAATGAGCATCAATGCTGTGTCATTTAACTTTTTAATATGCTCATAAATTTTGTTGAAAATTTTACAAGACTCTGTGGAACATGGAAGGAACCATTTAAACCCTTAACTTAAGGCGACAGGTTGTTCCCGTGATGATGACCATGATAGAATCTGACAGTCTTTTGTGAAGTGGTGTCTTGGGAATGGTTCTGTTCAGAACAAATTACTTGCATTGACTGGATGCTGATACTGACCAAAGCCTACAGAAGATAAGCTATCCTGTATAGGATTAGGTCAACTCTTCTGATGATTGTGGCAGCCACCAGTCACTGTTGAAGGAAATGTAAATGTATGCTATCATGTGACAGATATTTTGACAGGTGTGTACTGAAACATGAAGATGCCCCTTTGTCAACATGAAATCACGAAGGGTCACATGTGAGTCATATGCATCCAAGTGAACAATATGGTACAATGTATTTGTGTTTACAGGAGTCACATGTGATATTTTTAAACCCTAAACAGACAATGTTGTAGTAGAAAAATGTAGCTATACAGGTTTGTTGCATGTGGCTAAACTGTTCACTATAAAGGTCAACAAGGTTGTCTGGTACCATTTGTAGGGCACACGGCTGATGTGTTGACAGCATTGTTCATATCCAATGAGTAATTTTGGGGGGCTACTTTTTGCAATTCAACTTACTTCAATGGTATGTTATATATAGCATGATGTAGCTAATAACTATATGTTTAATAGTATGTTGTATCATCAGCAAACATCAGTTAAGTATGCCTTCATCTTTTATGGATTTAGGTGTAGATTTCAGCCCTGACAGAATTTTACTCCTTATACCAAATATGTATCTTTTCCACATGTCAGAAAGGGTTGCCATCCTTGTTCCATTACAGTACACTGCTCCTTTGTTTTCTACTTCTATTCTAGATTAGATTTGCAGCTGCCCAGCATGCCACGTTATGAAAGAAGAGGACAGTCATTGGTTAAAAACATCAAGATGGATTTTGAATATGGAAATGACCTTTTTTACTATCACAATTTTGCAATATAAGTAGAACATGATTAATGACAAATTGTTTTCTGATACTGTGATAGAATATGTTTAAAGTTGGTACATTCAATATTCCTAATTTACTACTTGCTACATGTCAAACATGTGCACAGTGTATTTGATCTTTGTGACTTCTGGTTTGATATCTGATCCCAGGATCAGCTCCTGACTAATGTAGGGCAGGTCAGAGCCCTGGTGATGTTACTGTATTACATTTTTGCACCAGCCCAAAGGTGAAAGAGCAGTCACTGTATGAAATGTGCATATCTGTTATGTGAGGTAGGTTACATGTCTTAGCGATGACAAATTTTGACAAGTATGTCATGTTGATCAACTCCAGAGTGAGTCACAGACTTCCAAGAAGGCAATAAAGGTTTTGGAAAGGAAAGTAGATTAGGCCATTTGCATGATGATTCATGTAGTTACTAGTACTTACTACAAATTATGCAATACAAATGTATTAGTGTTGAAAGACTGCTAAAATTTGATAATCAAATTTGGATTTGAGACAGAACAAGACTACCCTAATGATAGATGCTTTCATATTGTAATAGATTTTGGCTGACAGATTTTGGAACATATGAAAATCTTCCACAAGATAACACGTATGTACTGAGAATGTAAGTACTAGTATGTAGATCTAGAATCACCTGACTGAGAACAGGTGTCTTGTAGTTGTAGTTACATCTTGGAATGTACTATCATGTACGGTTCAAAAGAATCAAAAGGTCTCATGGCACATTCACGTTGGATACAGAGTGGGTTGTACATACTGGTACATTTATTTTCCCATGGGATTGGTAAGCCTATACAGTTACCTTGTGACCTTTTGGTAATACCAAGGAGGTTCAAAAAGAAAACCTCTTTGTTTTTACAAAATATGAATACTAGGACAGTTTTGTATGTATTGTGCTAATGTGTGGCCTGGCAGATTGCATTCCTCCAAGGTTGGGATAAATGCCACTAAACTGGCCTTATTTGGGAGCACCTGGAGGTTAGTGCATGAATGTTAATGGTTACCTGGATACATTCATCTGAATTATTGATAACATGTAACTTCTGGATTACTGTGAGTTCACCTTTCATCGAGACACATTACTCTAGTTGAAGGGGAATTCAGGTATACAGAACTTGATACATCTGTTCAGCTTCCTGTGGAGTTTTGTGGTACTGCTAGATGACAAACCAAGAAATCCAGCCAGATATATATATGCATACAGTGCAGCATACCTTGTCCTAGCATTTTGGTAGTATCTGTAGTATTTGCAACTGGAATTCAAAATATGTCTGATGATGCCAATTCAATTTTGAAATGAAAGTGTCTTTGTGTTAAAACTGAAAGACGAGGGGATTGATTTAATTATTTTAAGGATAGTATGGATGACACACTCTGTTGATAGGTCAGTGTAATTATGGCCTTGTTGGAAGGTGCATATATAGAAGAGAGATGTTTTTGAAGTAGAATGGCGGGAGTGCGTGCGCGGTAATGCCATGGTAATGGGCCTCCGACGTCAGGCCTGTCACCGGGGATTTAAAGCACGCCGTGTTAGAATATGCACCGCCTCATCCAGCGGACAATAACATCTGCACAGCCATGTTCATATCAGGTAATGTGGGGAAATTTCAAGGAAATTGGATTTTCATGTGTGTGTTTATATATTTGTTTAGATAGATGTAATTGTATTAGAAATTAACTACAATATTCAGTTAAAGCTCACATCTATTTAACATAATAGGAAGTAGAAAAGAGGACGTTGTAATTATTGATCTGAAGGATGGCTGGAAAACAAGGGAGGAAACAGGCAGAACACTGGTGTATACATTATACATTATACTTGTGCATCTTCCACAATGTCTGAGACTGTTGGTCCCTGAAATTGACAATTTCCTCTATCTTTGTAATTCTTAGCCCTACTGTCTGTTTGGCCTCTATGCTTGGTAAGCTAGGTGTGTAATTTGTTAGTGGACAAGGTGTATTATTTTCCTCTATTTTGTACCTCAGTGGTCTGGCTAATTGTTGTCTAATTCAGTAATTGGTTAGGTTTGTACTCAACCGTGTCAATGATTACCTAGTCTAGAACTAGAACATTCTGGCAAAACCACTTTTGTTGGTGGGCATAGGAAAGCAGCCGTGTCTGCTGAGCATACGTCTCTAGATCAACATACCATGCTGAAGGTTAGGTATTTTTTTGTTGGATGAAGTAAACTGTTTAGCATGATCAGAAATGTTTCTAAGGTTGTTGTCTTAGGTACATGTGTAGAGTAGTATTTTATAGAAAACATAGAATTGCAGAATGTGGAATGTATTGTTTGAATGAAATTTGTTCCTTCCTATGTTAACTATGCCTTGTGGACTGCCAAAAGTCAAAGAGGGAACATAGATATACTAGCTAGTAAATGTTCACACTGTGACAGTCATGATGTAATCAGATGTTTTATATCCTACCACTCATCTGCAGTGTTGGGAACACATTTTGTGTGCACAAATCATCGCCATATCTCCCCATCTGCCAGAACAAATTGGTGCTAACATTACTGAAGAGACTTGCATGCTGTAAATTATATTCCTGTACTGATACTTATTATGGTTCCTATTTCTGATTGCTGTGTTCCATGTGTATGTAGGTCCTTGTGAAAGCTTTGTAATTTATGGGTGGGTTACAGTTTGATGTTGTGTTTTCTTCAAAATAGTGTAATGGGTGATTTTTCCAACAAGATTTTATTTTTTGGAAGGCTTGCATTTAAAAAAAATTTACACAGACCGTGTTAGTTGCTAGGAACGTCAGTGTCAAAAAGTACAATTTTTTGTGCCACAGACTTCCCAGCTGCATGTGTAATACAGGTTAGCTGCCATGTATATGGTAGCCTAGGGTAATCATGGAGGAAACAGTGAAATCATTACAGGTATTATTGCCAGAAGATGTACTGTAGTACTGCAATTATGTATGCAGATTTGTAAATCAGGACAGGATAATCCCAGTTATCTTGTTTATCAATGAAGGTTGCCCAGTTTGTGTTGTGTGGATTAAACCTGGCAAATAGAGCTATCTCATGGGACGGTTTTGGCCGGTGTTCACTTCATGATGATATAGCACAAGTTGCAGGTTTACTGTTGGATAAAAGTGCCAATTAAGACCTGCCATGGCAACATGATTCGCAGTCACACACACAGGCGTTTCAAAGACGTGGAACCAGTCCAACTGCCTTTTCTCCTGAAAATCGATAAAGGAGCTTGAAAAGGGAGTACTGACCATTCCAACAAAAGAACCATCTTTTTGGAAAGACTATGCTGTGATGCCAGCATTTATTGCCATGTATGGGCTAAAATTTTGCTTTAACCAGAATGCAAGTGTGTTGCTAAAATGCAGTACTTTTATAAGCCTGCTTTTTTTATACTTCATGATACACATGATATGTCTCTATTTCCTGCAGTGGTAATTTTGAACTTACCATTTTTTCCCTCTTAATCCTGCAGAGCTGCTCGGGATGAAGATGACAACAAATACTACCATTTCACAGGAGGAACTTTTAACGGACACAAAGACTGTAACAAAAGGCTTAGAGACTCTGAAATCAGAGCACAATGGCATCCTCGGCTCCTTACTGGAGTCGCTCAAGTCCATCAAGAAGGAAGGCGTGGACTCCAACCTGGTGGAGGAGAAGGCAGCCATCATCAGGAAATCACTGGAACAGATAGAACTGGGCCTGGGAGAGGCACAGGTCAGTCAATATGCACATCTTAGTCAACCAAGGCTGGACATGTTGTAATACAATGTACAGACTATTGCTGGTATCCTATGAAGTATTCAGACAATTTCGTCTTTCTAAGTTAGTCTAACAGTAACTGTAGGCTATTTTTTGATAAGCAGAAAATATATATAGTATATTACACAGCCAGTCTTGATTTCTGATGAAAGATGCCTGAATAATTTGCTATCTCTGAATCATAAAATATGTTTTGCATTGTGGTAAAATTGATATTGCCAGACAAATTGTATATGAAGATCACTTGTTTCCTATGAAACATTGCATGTTACTTTTCATAAACATGTAGTTGTAAAAATACAAGGTAAGTACAAGGATTGTTATACCTTTTGAAGCAGATGTGGTTAGTAATAGTATGTTTATTGCAGTAATTACAATCACAGTAGCCCTGAGAGATGCAGCAATGTTTTAGTTTTCTGGTATGGCATCCCAAGATTTAGCAAGAACTGTGTCAGTACAGGCACATCCTTTGTGCTTCACTGCGCATACAAATTGTATGCCCATCTTTATTGGGCCTTTCATTGATCAGTATGCAGCACTTTCACCACTGAGGAATAAGTTGCTCTATTCATGTGTCAGGATGTGAAGTTCTATGGCTGTTTTTCTTCAGATCCTTTGAAGCATGTCAAGTAGATAGGCTGGGACAGAACTGGACCGTGAGAAGTACATGTCCCTTGGTGTAACAAATCCTGTCTGAATAGGAAGAAATATGTTTTTAGTCTATGACTGGAATAGGAGATAGCGATTTGGACTGTTAGTTCCACTGTTTAACTGCCATGAAGGCAGTATAGCGTGCAGTAAAAGGGTAGTCTTATATTGACATTTCTTTCTGCAGATCTTGAAACCCGTAGAGACATCCCGCTCAATAGCTGCCATGAATATTTGATAAACTCCTGCACCCATCACATGACTGGAGAAGTGATTGTGAATTCATGTCGCAAAGCCTGGAGGCCATTTTGTATTCCGCTCACCATTCCAGGTTTTGATTTTGCACACGATATGAAATCACCTGACCGTGGCACCATCCTGTCACGTGCTGTTGACGTGAATTTTGCGCAGTGCTGCTTGTTTCGGGTCCACCGAGTAGGAGATTGATGACTCAGCAGTAGTCTCATTAGTCTACCATCTTGTTTTGACATTGAACTGTGAGATGCAGAGGTCATTCCTCATGATGGCATGCGCAGATATGCAAGCTTTTAAATCAGGTGTATTGGATGGCCTTAAGCCTGTGGAATATATGTTTGGCCACAGTATTGTTACTGCAGAATAAAACACTTTTGTCCTCTAATGTATTAGATAAATAGATTTAGGTCTTAGGTTTTTCCCTTTATCATCTTATGAACAGTTGAGTTGTAAATCACAATTGTTTCGAAGAGAACTGCTAGGACATTTAAAGCAAGGAGCAGAGATCAGCCGTGCCCTGGTGATTTCCTGACATGTCTGTAACCTGTACCAATATTCCCAGCACGTACCAAGCATTGATTAAAGCTCTGTTGCCATGGTTATATAGCTCTTATCTAGGACATTTGGACGAGATGTACGTTTATTGCTGACTACAGTCTTCATGGAGCATTAATGGTCATTACATACATGTACTGTGCCCTTTCCCACACGGCTAGAAATGTTCTGTAGCTTTAGCTTTAATCATAGCTAGCTACTGCATTGTGTCAGTTGATACTGCTATACAATCTAGACTTGTTATCTTAGTTACAATTGGCTGCCTAATTACATCACAGACTTGGCACTTGACAGGCATGTCGGTTCCATGTACAAAATACATGCATAACATGGAGCGCTCATCATTATTGTGGTTTCTTTGCCCTGTACTGATAAGAAAAGTCCATATACATGTACAAGTTGAAGAAATTATGATTCATGGCCTTACTTTCCATCAGTGATTTTAGCATAGGTAGAAATTTCAACATCAGTGGCTGAATCAAATGTTGTACCATCATCTTACATTAGTCAGTGTGGAATAGCTTTTGCACGCAATCATGACATCAGCAGTGTCAGAGATTGGGGTCTGTACATGGGAGGAATTTTTATTAGGCCCTGACTTTTGACATATCTGTTCCAATTATTCTGGTTGTGGGAACTCATGAAATTATCATAGATAGAGAATTACTTTCTGACAGAACATTTGAGGAAAATTAAAATGATAGTTTTGGTGGCATGCTCAATATCACAACATGAAAAAGTTGTGCGAGCATTAGTCTTGCAAACATCTATGCTGGTAGTTATATAAAAATAAATGCTTTCTACAAGCTTAAGCAAGAAGCAATCATTTCAAGCAGTGATTTAGGCTTAAGCGCCAGTGTTGTGCTGATAAGGACAGGTACAGCAGGGCTTTACTGTTATCTGTGTGGAACACACCAGGCACAGGAGGCAGCAATGTTGCTGTAAGCTTGCAGGGCAGCTTTATGACACTTCCAGCAATCTATAAACGACTGCCAGGTGAAGGAACGTGAGATGTAAGCAGACTCGACAAGATCAATCTCACATTCGGGACTCAGTAGCCGCCAGAGAAACTGGAAGCCTGAATATTTGATATTTCTTTCCTGGACTCTGTGGTAAGGAAATGTGAAACCTTGCTCAGCCATGGTTGGAATTATAGAAGGGAGCATGGATGAAGGAGGCTTCTTTGGGCTGTTTTGGGTGAGTTGATGGCGTGCTCTTGTTGGTATTATTAATGTACATTCCAGCCTCCACATAACAGGAGAAGTGTCAGTATGTCAGCTAATGATGCCCCAGCTTTCATGGAGATGAGATTGCTAGGCTGGCCAGCATGTCACAGATTGGCTAGTAATTCCTAATGGGACTTGATGTGATGCTAACAGATTAAGATGAAAATATTGTTGAAACTTGAAAGGGTTAGGTAATGGTTTATATGATGATGTGGCTCTAGCACCACGCACCACATGTGACAATGTCTTTCAAAACTCTTTGTCATTATTTACAGTGTCAGAGATTTAGAAGTATCCAAAGTTCCAAACCAGTACATGTATTCACATATTCATAAATACATGTATGTATCAACAACTATATCTGAAGGAAAACTGATTGATCTGACTGATTGGTGCCAAATTGAAATAGTGTCCCTGTGTTACATTTTGATAATGTACATGTTGTTTGTTATTGATGAATAAGATTCTGAAGATGATATTGTAATGTCAGTTCAGATAGAAGGTTGAAAGGCTATAGCAGAAAGAGAGATCCCACACATACGGTGTACCAATGAAATATAGATGATTTCTCCATTCAGGTACATGTAATATGAAATGGCAGTCAGTGTAAATGTTTGAAGGCAAGGCAGGAATATCTTAAGCTGCAGCCGTAGTGGTGGAAATCCTGGTGGAAACAGCTAAAAGACATTTCTCAATTGTCTTACCTGGAACTCTTTCAGAGGAGATAGTGTAATGGACTAATTCCTCCAGGGCCCTCTGTAGGAATTTGTTCAGATCTCTGTTTCCATATCAATCATCTAAAAAGCCTTACATTTCTTGTTTGGTTGGGTTTAAAACTGCTTGCTTGATTCCTTAGCAGTGTAGTCATTTAGTCATGATGGTCAGACAGTATCATGCATGATGATCCTCTAGTTCATTGTTGCTTTGTCCATCGTGAAGCACAGATTTAAAAAGATGACATGGTATATCTTTGAGTACTACTACTAGAAGAGTAATGTTTAATCACACAAAGTTGTGCAAGGTTCTCACCAGAAATTTTTCACAGCACGTGTCAGTAAAGAAGCCACATATTGAGTCCCAAAGACATAACCACAGCAAGGGGGCTGGTATTCCCCCAAGGGACAAATTTTGTAAAGTTATAGCTTCATTCTGAAGAGAACCTTTCATTTTCTTAAAGATTTATGAAGGGTTACAAGGTTCTCCCCCAAAATAAAATATCCCTACACTGGTTGAAAGTTACTAGTAGTGTAGCGGACTAAATCACAGCTTAAGGGGTCCAAATCACATTGTAGGGGGCCCCTACACTCAAATAGCCTGATGAGAACTATGTCGTCCAAATCTTCTGAATAGGGTTTTGTGCAATGGTGCTTTCCTTGGTGCTGAAAACCTGGTGCTGATCACAGCTTTCCTGTCAAAGGCAAAGTTGGGAAAATTTCTTGCGGTTGTGAATGTGATATTGTGGCTGTAAGTTCTTCTAGCCTTTTAGTAGATATACAGATTTTGTCCATAGACTTATGTATGTAGATATGTATTGTTTAAATCTACTGGAGGAAATGTCGTGTTTTGTAAGTAAAACAGTGTCAACCAGATGATATATAGAATGTGTCATATTGATTTTCTGTCACAGTAGAATATCTAACATTCAGTATGGAGGTGTCAGATTCAGTAGAGGGATTAACTGGTATGGAAAACATGGTGTTGGTTTTTATATCAACATGGTTCAGTATTACCTTTTCATGTACCAGAATCTGGCATAATTATTTGCTAGTCTTAAGAAAATGTTCTGCGCTTGCTGAACCTCCAGTCTGGAACTATTCTTGTCTTTGTCTCTGTCCTTTGAAATGCAAGACATATCACAGCCATCTTTGAAATGTCTTTCATGGGAATAATGGTTTGTGCCTTATATTGGTCAGGATTTAAGGCAATTGATATGGAAAGCATGGACATAGGGGTCAATTTGAATTGAGTACAGGCAAAATGAGGAAGGAAATTTGGTACTAGAAAGAAATTAAAAGTAATAGGTTTCCTGTTGTGCATAATCAATTGAAATTGATAGCCTTGGAGACAGGTCATCTGTGCTGTAGGAAGTAGCTTTTAGTGGTCTTTTTCTTCTCTCATAAGTAGCAAGGAATACATCCAAGATATTTTGAACTCAGATACAGCATTATTGACTATACTACAGTGTAGGCTATGATACCTCCACCTATGCAAGGAGATGATGTTTTTGGCAGTTTCAGTCAGTTGGCTTGTTGTCTGTTTGGTTTGTTTGTTTTTATATGCACACTGAAAGTGTAACGACACAGTTGATAATGAATTTCATAAATTTTTGGTAGCAAATAGACCATGGCATTTGAAAAAGTCCAGGGATTGTTAAGAAATCTTCAGCTTTACAACTTAAGGCAAAATCCTGCCTTGGACTTTAATCTCCATCATCATCTACCGGGTTCTGTGTCTACAGTCATTTGAAAGTTGTAGTCTATATGTTATGCTCTTTGAATGCTTTTTCTTATGAATATTGGACATTGTACATTACTGGTAACATTGCAGTCATAGTCATAACGAACACATCCTTGCAGGTGATGGTTGCCCTTGCCAACCACCTGAATGCGGTGGAGTCGGAGAAGCAGAAGCTGCGTGCGCAGGTGCGGCGGCTGTGCCAGGAGAACGCCTGGCTGCGGGACGAGCTGGCCAACACGCAGCAGAAACTGCAGATGAGCGAGCAAAACGTGGCCCAGCTGGAGGAGGAGAAGAAACAGCTGGAGTTCATGAACTCCCTCAAACAGTATGATGAAGACAAGACACCCACAGTGAGTACACATTCAGAAAACACGCTAATCCACACACCCGCCACGGTACTTGAATTTCCTTCTTAAAGAAATCTTACAGTGCAGTGTTAGCCTTTGGGAATGGTTTTGTGCAGTCTGGACAGGTCTGCTGGAACCAACTGAGCAATCGTGTTGCATTGACGTCAGCTGACCTACACCAGGAGACACATGAACCCTCATTCCATTGGAGGAGGCTTTTTCTCCAGACCTGAAAGGCCCTGGCATTATATCACAATTGTGGCAAGTACCCAGAAAGTCAGATTGGATTTGGATAAATTTCTTTGGAAGAAGAGGTCTGTTTTCAGGGTTTTCACCTTTAGGCAATTTCTCAACTTTATATGAATACGAAAATTATTCATTCGGTCATTTGACTGATACAGACCTGTATATAGAAGTATAGAAAATAATCTTGATAATTATGATAGCTTTGTTTGTCATTATTTATTACAAATCTGTAGTAGAAATTTTCTTCAATTAAGTCTGGGTCATTTTCCCCATAAAATGTCCCACAAAATTATAGTATTCCTTCAGTACCTTTGTATATTGGGCACTGCATACATGGTTCACAGTAATGGCTATATTTCACAGCCTAACCTTTTGGAGGAAGTTCAAGGGTCTTCAAGTACTGTGGCATTTCCATTGTGAATCTTCATTGAGAATTTTCATTGTCCCTATGTGTATGACCTCTGTACAGATGTTTATTGCGTATGTCCCTAACTAATTTCAAGTCTGGATGGTAAGCCCATATAATTCCAACCTTATGGCCCCTCTCCGTAATGAAGCAAGCATGAGTAATGCTGCGATAAAATGCACTTACCTCGATCGCCCACACTCCCAGAAGAAATTTGCCGGTGCAGGAACAGGAATATGGCAGGCTCTATCTAATTAGTGTCCAGGCAAATGAGATTGCTATTGTCTGCTGCCTCCCCCCTCCTGTGTGTCGCCAGTGATCATCCAGGTTTGCTCAGGAAGGGTGTAGGGATCATTACCTTCAACTGTACAGCTGGCTCAAACACCACTGAAATATTGATCAAGTATCGGCACTTTAATTAAATTTTCCTGGAGAAATTGCATTCCTCTGTCCTGCTGCAGTCTTGTGTGGCCTGGCCCAAGCATGTGTCTCTGTCGTGCACATATTGAACCCAGGCTGAAATAGGGCTGTTCCTCCTCCTCCTGCCAACCTGCCGTACCGTTTGACTCATGTCGTGCCTCGTGCAAAATGCGCCCCCAGCAAACATCATGCTGACTTTTCTGGAAGAGGAGGACATACCCTTTGCAGACGAGGAAGCAGGGGATGGAAACGTGCGCAGAATTCTCCGGATTGTTCATAGATTTATCGACATGCAAAAGTACATGGTGGTCTATTTGTTTTGTATGGTATAGGTTCTGTTTGAAGCAGTGGTAGTGTGTGGGGTATCATCAGTGATTGGTTCTGATGTTTCTGTCTTACAGGATGATGACCAATCAGAGGCCTCGAGTCAAACAATAGACGACCTGTTCCCAGATGAAAGTGAAGACTCCCAAGCAGGTGGAGGTGGGTTCAAAGTTGAAGGGTCAGATATCCTGAGTTGAAAGACATAATATAATTTGATATTATAGCTGTAGCTTACAGCTGTATATTGTAGCTTATAATTCAGTTTTATGCAGACATTTCATCAGAGTAGATGTCCCATGGGTAATTGTTACAGAACAAGAGAATTCAGAAACTGATTTTAACAAGTAGAAGGCAGAAGGTAGCAAACAAAGATGTCATGTCAGCCTTTTGTGCTGTCGTTCAACCTTTATGTTGTGATCCTACTGTACTCCAAAGTGTTGCTTTTAATTTTGAAATTCTTAAATAATATGTGTGACAATGTGAAGCAGAATGGGTTTTCTTTTGTTTCACCTTCACCTGCATATGCCAATGTCTTTTTTTATAATTTTAGCTCATACATTTTTTCCTCCCTTCTTTGCACTTCTTTTTGTTTTCAGTTTTGTTTCCTCCCAAAAGTTAACATTTTTGTTTTTGTTTTGCGTCCCTCTATGGGGCCAGGCCCTAACCTTTGGGCTCTTCCCCTCCCTGCAGTCTCCCCACAGATGAGCAGCGCGGCCGCGGCGGCGCAGCAGGGCGGGTACGAGATCCCTGCACGGTTGAGAACGCTGCACAACCTGGTGATCCAGTATGCCTCGCAGGGCCGGTACGAGGTGGCCGTGCCGCTGTGTAAGCAGGCGCTGGAGGACCTGGAGAAGACGTCGGGTCACGACCACCCAGATGTCGCCACCATGCTCAACATTCTCGCTCTAGTGTACAGGTAAAGTCTGACTGCTGACTGGTCAGTTGGAGATTATGGACATTGTTAAACATCAACATATTTCATCATGGGCCTGATTTACACGGGGCCAAAAATACAAGTGTCGTACCAAGATCGCGGTGCAGTGCATTGCACACTGTAGGACAGATTTTTTGACGGTGTAAACAGGCCCAAAACCGACACACGGCAAAACGAAAATCATGGCGGCAGCAGTTTGGGGCCTGTTTACATGCCCAAGATATCTGTCCTACAGTGTTTGCCACACAGTGATTTTGGTACGACACTTGTATTGTTTGCCCCGTGTAAATTGGGCAAGACTACCATAGCATACTACCTCTACAAGAATAACATCTAAATACCCTCGTGAAATGTCAAACTTGGTAGTTACATACGTTGGTTAAATTGCTGTGATTATATACATCACCAAATGCACTTTTATGTAGATTGGCAATAACAATCAAAATGGCAATATTATGATTATAATAATAAAGAAGTTAATATTTCATTTCCTTGCTTCACCGTGTTACATAGAACATACAAACAGGTGCACAATCGGTGACTTATGGGCCATAACATAGACCTTGCGTTATCTAACATACCCATACATCTCTACCATTATCAGTGATATCTTACACCCCTTTGTGTTGTCTACCATAACATATGCTTTATGTACTATTCATTACTGAAATGATACTTCTCAGCACGTTGGCTGTGGATCATAAACCTCACAGTATTTATCTGTATGGTGTATGATTAAATGTTGATTTTCTGGCATGATAAGAACTATTGAGGTGAAACAGCAGTGCAGTGATTTGTTAGAGACAAATATAACATGAAGAAACGCATTAAATGATAAGTGATAAAATATGCTTTTCATTAACCAGCCATTTAACATACTTAATTTTAAAAGCATTGGGGGGGGGGACAAGCAGTAATCTGCCCCAAAGCTTAGTCCAGTCCTTATGGACATAAGTTGTTAAAACTGGATGAACAAGGGTCACAGGTGACCTACTACAGACAACCCAATTTATCTGAAATAGGTGACATTTTTAACAAAGAATAGAGGGGAGTTTAAGTTAACTGCATACCTATATATAAAAGGCATATCAAACTTAGACTCAATACATATACAAAATCTTGCGAAAATCAGACATATCTTTAATGTCACCAAATTTTAAGTCCAGTTGCAGAATTGTACAACAATTATTCCACTCGATGAAAATTATAATCTTTTGCTTTATTTCAGAAACTATATTTATTCCAGCAACATAATGACTCATCACCCAGGCCCTTCCTAAACAAGCCTTACAGAACCGTCCCTTCCTCTGCGACATGTAATTTTTGGTGCAGCTGATCTATTGAGCTGTTTTATCGCTGCAAGCCTCAAAGAATACAGATACAGCCGGGTGACGTCAGACTTGTGATGGCATCTGCAATCTAGTAATCTCTGTCTCCCTGATGGGGCCAGAATAAATCATGACGGGAACGACTTTTATTGAACCCACAGGCCTTTCTGGAATCTTCCACAGCCATTGATTTTTTTTGTTCAATTGATTGACTCAGGAGTGGGAGATCCATTCCAATAGATTTTACTCTAAGATGCCAAATGGAAGATACAGTTCAGTAGATTTTACTTAAAGATGTCAAATTCAGGTTCCAGTGATGGACTGTGATGTTTGAAACTAAGGGACATAATTTAAAGGAAGAGTTTTTCATGGTCACGGATACATGACACAAATTTGGGTACTTACTTCATATCCAAGTGTGTTTACAAAAGGACACATACTCATGATTTATGGTCAGGAGCTGATATTATAAAGTACATGTACAGTACAGCTTCCAGCATCTTTGGCATCTACTGCCTTAGAATCGATATGTGTATATGTAGTGTGCTTCGCAGTACAATATAAACTATATCACATGTCTGCCAATGGCTTGACTTAAGGAATGCTGCTGCTTTGCATCAAGGATGGAAATTAAAACTCGTTTTCCTAGCTTTTAGCAGTCACAAATCCTTCCAGCAGCTCCATTCTCTGGAAAATTATATAACTGACCTGCAAAGCTGAAAGCTATGCTAATTCATTCCATTTAGGATATTGTGGAAACCGTTATGTATCCCCCATACTGTGCCTCATGCCACTTGTACAGGAATGTAGCATAAAGCCTATGTAATTGATGTTGTACCAGCTATCCCATTTGTGCCCTATACCCTGGATAGAACTGTTACTTTTCAATATGTCAGCTGCACTGCATACTAAGTACATTCATGTACGCCCATACCGCCGGTAATCACCATGATTATGTGACAGCTGAAACAAAAATGATTGGAGTTGATGTACCTGACAAGAATTAACAAGATCCAAAATTATGCAGATTCCAAAAAGAGTCTCGAAAGTTTCTCATGCAACATTTTTCACAAAAGTACCTGGGAGACTGTTAGGTGTATGGAAACATTACAGATATTGGTATTGATTTTGTCACTATAATCAAGGGAAAGTCAGGGCAATTGCAGGTAATTGATTTTGGTGCAGAGTAAGGGATGATCCGTGGGAACATGTGAGGGAGGGCAGCTGTGTTCTAAGAGTAGAAATGAAGGTATAAATGGAAAGGGTTTGTAGGTGATTGATTTAAAGATAAAATGGAGAATCCTACATAACAGTGCATGCAGCTTTGATACTGAATACTATACACCCAAATTTTTAAGTTCAAAGAATAAGCCCTAGTGGAGATCCCTGAAACCATAAATTTGCATTGAAGTAGATTTGCTGTTTTTCATTACATGTTGATTAGAAATGACAGACCAAGTAGGATTTGCTCCACGTACAGTGCTTCTATGTGAAGACATTACCGGTACATTGATGTGAATGGGCTGCTGAGTCAGAAACACAATAGCAAAATAGATCTATCTTTCTTTTAATGCACATCGATTGCCTCTCTGTGGTCTTCAAAGGGCATGAAGATAGTTGAAAATTTAATGTGTCTTCATGTTACCATATTGTTCCATGTAATCCATGGTAACTGGCACTTGCGTAAGCAGCAGCCAGGATGTCCAGACAAAACTCCACACCCAGATCAGAGTCTAGACATTTTCCTCCAGTCCTGATTGTTGTCTTCACCATCCATTAATGATGAGATGGCAGGAGCTCTCTCCCCTGGGCACACAGCATTAATATTTCAGTCTTACTGTCAGAATGGTGTCAGCCCTAAATCATAGCATACTGCATTACTGTAGAGTCTTAACCTACGATACAATGCCACACCTACGGATGTGTTTGTCAATAATTAAAGAACTGTATGATCAGGAAGGCAGGGAATGGCCAATCGCAAACATGACACCCTTTGGGATGAAAACATTTGATTTTGAATCTTGTAATGAATTTAAAAATAGGTAGACATAAAATGCATCAGGAGAAATTGGAAAGTGTTCATGTCTACCTTAGATTGAGGTTTCGACTTTCATAAGTTTTATATTCAAAAGTCGCAACATGTCATATTTGGAACCTTATCTTAACACAAAGTATTTCATGTACTGATAACCTAAGGTGTGTGAAAAATATATAGCATTAATAATGTGCATTTCTATCCTCAGGGACCAGAATAAGTACAAGGAGGCAGCAAACCTGCTGAACGATGCTCTGGCCATCAGAGAGAAGACACTTGGGGAGGATCACCCAGCTGTAAGTACAGATGTAGTGAGAAGATTTATTGGTCTTACAAATTTCAAATGTTGGGCAGTGACAGAAAGAGACTGGAAAATTCATACAGGTCTTACATACAAACATGTAATGGCATGTATTTCATCATTTTGTATGCTCTAATCACTCCACCCTTACATGAACCAGGACTAAAATTGCTGTGTCCTAGACCTTTTTCTACATCACCTGTGCATCAGCAAGCTATAAGAATTTTGATAATGATGAGATACAGTGTTTTCTCCTGGGGAAGGTATCAGCCTGGTCACTCCATCAGCACAAATCTCCCCACTGATCATCCTGCAGATTTGGGTCATCTCTGTCCCATAGCTGCAGAAAATTGGATGTGACTGCAGTTTTAACGGTTGTCATTTTGATTCCAGGAGATAAAAAGTATATTTAAATCAGATTTCCTTTTCTCACATTGGACCTATCTGGCTGAAATCGGTGAAAAATTAGGCCAATGGCCACCCAAGGATCACCCACTCCTTGCTGCCTCTCCCTGTAATCAGTACAAAATTATGTTAAAGGGCTTCCATAGTAGGGTGAAGGTTAATGCTGTAGTTCAGTTATGTGCAGACAAACTGCAAGATAGACATTTCAATGCACCAATGTATAATATATCATTGCATCCTTCATTAGAGTTTTCCGGGAAGAAGAGGTAGAGAATGATGTTAAAATCCTCCAACAAATGCCCCATCCTTTTTTTGAGTTTGATGCAACATGTCCTTAACAGCTGTACAGTTTTAAGAAACGACCCAAACATATCCATGTCACATGTCAGGTTGCTGCCACCCTCAACAACCTGGCTGTGCTTTACGGCAAGCGAGGGAAGTACAAGGAAGCTGAGCCACTCTGCAAGAGAGCCCTGGAGATCAGAGAAAAGGTGGGCCCAGGCACTGCTGATGTTGTTATAGACCAGAAATCTTTTTACATTTCATAATGCTTTAACTTTGGAGTAAAGGTAAACCAAGGCTACAGTCAGTAGTAACCACTAGCTAGTAACCACTCCCTTCTCAGTCCACTGACACAGTGCTGCTTCCCTCTATAGGTTCTTGGGAAGGACCATCCCGATGTGGCCAAGCAGCTGAACAACCTGGCTTTGCTGTGTCAGAACCAGGGCAAATATGAAGAGGTAACCCCCTGCCCCCCCACTAGACACTAATGATATGCCTCCTGCACTTCCTTTAAGTTGTAGATCATACAGAGAATGGAATAAATAATTGTAACAAAAAATTTTGGTTGAGGTTGCCCCAAACAGTTTAGGAGTGGGTTGTTTGCAACTAATCATACTAGCATGTCACACTCTAACAACATGTTCCTATGGCATTTGACAACTCTGTGTTGATTGCATGTTTGGATTGAGACTGCTTTGTGGTATAATTCTATGCTATCTTATAACTAACACCATAACTTTACTGACGGTGTTTCACGATTGCATAGTTGGAATGGCAAGAATTAGATGTTTGCATGCTTTTTGCAGTGAAGCATGATGATACAAAGTGTAGTTTGGCTAAAATTTGCTTGTTGCTCTGGTTTGGATGAAAAGACTAACATGCATTTGATGCTTATCCTTGTAACAACTGTATGAGGCTGACATTTGCCACTCTGACACGTAGGGTTCCTATGCACATGGAAATTCTTGGTATTTTGGCAAGGGAAGATGTGAAAATTTTATTGGATTATATGTCCATCTTCGAAAATCAGATCTGAAAATTTTGAAAACATCTTTTTATCATTCTGTGTATATGATCCCTTTCTCCTCATTGTAGTGAGGCTTCTGTAGGACTGCATGTAATTGCTTGACCATGTGTGATATCAGCTATGCATGTGACTGCCACGCCTTCCAAATAGCACGTGTTTGCATGCCGCTGCAAGTCTGCAGATAACATTGCCGCAAATTCAGCTACTTTCAAACTTGCCACACCTCTGCACATGCATGTGTTGCTGCCAGAAGCCGGCAGCTATTAATGCAGCATTTCCAGCAAACACCCTGATGTCAGTGAGGCAGCGACATGTGTCTTACATCACCTTGTACAGGTTGAGTGGTACTACCAAAGAGCTCTAGAAATCTATACCAACAAGCTCGGACCCGATGACCCTAATGTTGCCAAGACCATGAACAACCTGGTATGGACGTCTTCCCTGTTCTTCTGTTTGTTTTTTGTTCATGCTTTTTGAAGTGTTTTGCTTTGCTGTGTGCAGGTGGAAATATACTATCAAAGAGCAGTTGAGATTTATACCCGCAAGCTAGGACCTGACGATCCAAACGTTGCCAAGACCATGAACAACCTGGTACGACCTCTGAACTCTGTCCTATGCCCTGTGTCCTGAAAGTCTTACCCATCTGTGCTGCTAAATTTAATTATATGATACTTAAGAACAGTTTTAGACCTGAAATGCATGCGGATATAGGTTTTAACAAATTTTGTCTCCTAAACCCTGCGTTTTTTTTTCACTTCCATTTCGATAGTAGTTGTCAGTAACATTTCTGTTTCTGGCAGATTTTTTAACAAGATCTGTCAATATTATACAGTTAAGTCTCCAGGTCCCATACAATCCTCCATGTAGTGTAGGATGAAATGCATGATCATCTTCTCCACCTCTTTTTTCACGTCCCTTCTCTTGTGGTGTAAATGTTTGTAAGTTAAGTAGTAGTAGTAGTCAGACCTTTGCCAGGAGGTATCTTTATTCTTAAAGAGAGTTCTGAAATCAGGGGAATGTTGGCATTAGATGATATGGTGCACATTTCTCCAGGTGTCTACTACTGTAGTATAAGTACTGCTAGTGCAACATACCATGAATGAACCATGAAGTAGAGATAAGCTTACTTTGAAAATTAAGAGTGCACAGAGCAGGTTTCTAAAAGTGTCTTGGAACAATCAATGTTATGAAAGGTGGGTTGGTAAAACTGAAAAAAGTAAAAAGGTTTATCCTCAAATAATTTGTTAGGCAAAAATCTTCACATTTTAGACGCTAATAGATGGACTCATGTAGCTCAGGGAATAGCAAAAATTCCATCTCTATGCACTGCTGATGTGAATACCCTGCCCCCCTCCCCCAGGCCTCTGCCTACCTAAAGCAGGGAAAGTACAAGGCGGCTGAGACTCTGTACAAGCAGGTCTTGACACGGGCACACGAGAAGGAGTTCGGAGCTGGTGAGTAGTTTGTGAGATGTTCTCAGTAGGTGCAACTCACAAGTTCTCCAGGAGTCACTACCAGTGGACCAGACTTAATACTGCTTTTGACAATAATGTGTTGTCCAGACCTGTCACTGGCATGGGCCTGTCAGTTGCTCTTAAATGTGGCTTATGTAATACTATAGTTCTTGCCCTATTATGATTTACAAGGCCTTTTAGCATACCAAAGTTAAAAAATATCTTGGTCACAAAACATAACCAGTTTTGTCCTTGGTGAGATAATGTGTTATAAGAAAGTTTGTACGTCATTTCTGTATCACAATTAAGTCCCAGACAGCCCATTGTTCTCCCTGTGATGTGTAATGTTGTGATGTTCTCCAGGCTCTGACAGTAAACCCATCTGGATGCATGCAGAGGAGAGAGAAGAGAACAGGGTAGGTTCAGTCATGAGGATAGCAAAATTATCATTGATCAGTAGAATTATATTTTGTCAGTATTTTGTCAGGATTTTGAGGAGAGTCAAAGTAATGTCAAAGATAGTTAGCCCCAATTGTATGTGGCTATCTCATGTTTCACACAGTATTTAAGTGGAATCCCATCAGGCAGCTAAAATAGGTATTTCATCTATACAGTGTACATTGTAAAGCCACAATGAAACATGTCAAAACTTAACATTGAAACCAGACATAAGTTACATTCTTCTTCTTACAGGGAAAGTTCAAAGACACTCCATACGGTGACTATGGTGGTTGGCACAAGGCAGCCAAAGTTGACAGGTACAGAGTGTGTGTGTCCCTCTCATGTTATCTTACACTCACCTCTCCCCATCTGTAATGGACGGGAAGACTCTTTTTGCACGGGTTTGGTAAGGGAACTGTAGTGGGCATGCCACTAACCAGCACCTCCCTACAACAAGTACATCTGTAGGTATGTATTACTAACAATGACCTCATGGGTCAGAGGTTTCTTACATGTGGTTTGTACACATCCTTGATTGTATCAGAACTGCATAACATTCAAGTCTAAATGCATCTATTCTATAAAGATATGTAATTTCTATAAAAGCTCTTGTGCAGGGTTCGAAATACTTTTTTTCAGGTACGTGCAAAATTGCACATTGGCAAAATTTTTAGGTGCAATTTGAAAAATTTATGTGCAAAATTATATTTAGCCTTGCATCTTTAGGTTTGGAACTGTTTTACTGTGTATCAACCTTCTTAGCCTGCCACTGCATATAGAAGTTTTAGTATACATTAAAAAGAAGGGACCAAACAAAACATGAACAAAGTATCATCTGTGTTTATAAAAAAAAAAGAACACAAAAAAAATTTGTCGGCATTAGCTTCAAAGGACGCCGCTAGTGACCCCCGGCCCTCTCACTCGTCATAAAAATAATTTACCAACAGTATGCGAGCA